AGAGCTCTGGCTCGAAGAGTGGAACAATCCACCTCGAGCTTGGCTCAGTCGTCCCCCTTTTACGGTAGTGCCTGCTCGCCTCCTGCTCAGCCGCGCCCAATCTCGATGCGGTCAGCGGTGCCAAGTCATCGGTCAGAGATGCGTGATCTTCGGCTGCCTTTTTGATCATGGCCCGCCTTTGGAATCCGCCTCTGGCCTGGAACTGCAGAGCACGTGGTCGGAAACTGGAACGTATACATTACCAGTGGCGGGCTGTTTCTTGAATCCCAGGACTTTTTGAGGGTCGGGGACGACGCTGGGGTGGTGTGGTGTATACTTTTTCCCCCGATGTCCCGGGAAACAACGAAAGATGCATACACCAGGATCCCGTATACACCAGAATTCGCGTTCCTGTTCGAGTTTCAGCGCAGGGTCGGGAAAAGCGTCGCTGTATAGAGTTCGCTCAGGAGGGACAAAAACACACACAAACACAATTAATCGTCGATTCCCCAGAAAATATGGGAAAATATGGGAAGTGGGGGGGAAGACAAAAACCCAGAAGATATGGGAAAATACGGGGAATCTTTTTATTTGTGTGTATTTATTTGTGTGTCCCAGGGCCTCTTCATTCGCTTCCCCACGCGGACCACCGGCTCACCTCTCCCACTCGCCTCTGCCCTCCGAAGAGCGCGAGGGCACCGCGGGCGCCCGCGCCGCGCCGACGCGGCGCCGATCCCCGCGCGGTCGCTCGATGGGAGCACGTCGCCAGCGGCGGGGCATCGACCAAACATTGGTCGGGTGTTGCTGGAAGTGCCCCTGGCCCAAGGTACCCCCAGGATTCCAAGGAGGCCCCCATGGCCTCCCCAGAGCACCCCTCATGAGGCCAAGAGGGCCCCAGCGCTTCCAAAATGGAGCGAAAAGCTGGGGGCACCTTGGGCCAGGGGTAGCGTTAGCAACCCCCGAATTGGGCGAGCCGCGCTGTTGGAAAGCGGCGATCGCTCGAGGTCGGACGGCTCACGCGGTGGCGGGAGCCAGCGCCGAGGTAGTCGCGGCACGAGCCCTTCGCAGCAGGAGGGCGAGAGCGAGGGCGAGAGGGCTCGGCTTCCCCGCTCCTCTCCTCGCTCCTCTCCTCCTCCGCCCGTCGTCGTGCGCCCGTTCCCTCGCCCCCCTCCCTCTCCTCCTCTCCCTCCCCTCCCTCCTCCCCTCTCCCTCCCCTCCCCTATCCCCTCCTCTCCCCCTCCCCTCCTCCCCCTCTCCTCTCCCTCCCCTCGCCCTCTCCCTCTCCTCTCTCTCCCTCCCCTCCCTCCTCCTCCCCTCCTCCCACCCTCTGCCCCTCCTCCTCCTCCCCCTCCGCCTCCTCTCGCCTGCGCCTGGCAGTGCTCGTGGCACCGCGAAGCTCAACCGGCACTGCCCGTGCGGCGATGCCCTGTGGGCCGACGCGAGGGAGAGGCGTCCTCCCTTCGCGTCCTGCCTCCCTCGCGGCACCAGGACCTCTGGGGGCTGCGGGGGAGGGGGGACTTCCAGCTCCAGGGCCTCTTGGGCTTGCTCGTGCACGCGAGCGGGGCGCTCGTGGGGGCTGCCCCACGCGCGCCGACAACGTTGGTCGATACTCGATGTCCCTGTCGTGCATTGGGGCCCTCTGCGCTTCCGCAGGGCTCCTCTGCGGGCAGCGCGATGGCCAGAGCCTTGAAAAAGCATCAGAAACTTAAAACAAAAGAGAACTTAACAAAACGGAGTAACCGATACCAATTGCCAGTTTTTTTGTTGTTGCAATATTTGCTTCTTAGGTTTTTTTAGGGCTTAGTCTTTAGTTTTTTGTTTTCGGTTAGTTTTTTTTTTGTTGTTTTTTGTTTTTTATATAACAAATGTTTTGTTTTGTTTATTGTTTTGTATTGTGAGATATATATATATATATATGTACGTATATGTATATATGTATATGTATATAGTTGCCGTTTGTTTCAATCGGACCTTGTGCCTCCCGTGCAGGCTCGGTGGCGCGGGCACCAGCTGCACACCCTTCCAGTGCCCGCGAGCTGCGGACGGATCGGCTCGAGTTCCGCGGAGCTCAAGGGGGGGCCACGGCAGGGGGGGACAGGCACAGGGTTGAGTCGGGCTCGTCCCTCTACAGTCGGGACCTTGAAGAAGGAACCCTTTTCGTTTGGGAGGGGCTCCGTGTTCCTTAGTTGCTTTATGGCGCTCCTTGGGTTTTCCTGAGGTTTTCCATGGAACGTCGGAGTTTAACTTATGGTAGAAAGGGGCCTCGTTCCTAATTTTGGGCCCCGACTGTACAGGAGTAATATTCCAAAAATAGTCAAACAAAGAGTCTGGGGACGACTTGTCAGGCATTTTTTTTTTTTTTTTCGTTTTGAATCCTTTTTTGAGTATTTTTTTTTCCGTCGCAAATCCGCCTGTAGGGGGACACGCCCGACCTAAGCACATGGGGGATACATCGACCCCAATGGCCCACTGATCTCGAAGAAAAAGCGCCATACTCATCAACTTTTGGCGCTCCGCGCGGATTTCTTGGATCCGCGCTGGGCCCCCCCTGGCGGCGCCTCCAGCGCCGCCCCTTGCGCGCTCCGCTCGCCAGGGAGGGGGGTCCGGCGCAGATCCAAGAAATCCGCGCGGAGCGCCAAAAGTTCATGTTCATGGCGTTTTTTCTTCTCCTGCAACCGCCCATCGATCGCCGATAGGGGGCCGATGGCCCCGACCTGCCCAGGAAGGTGCGGGTTCACTACCAGGGGCCTTGGCATCGCTCCGACGTGTGCACTTTTCTTTCGGCGAGGAACATCGAGGAATATCCTTGATCATTCCGCGAAAAAACCACGCACGAAACCGAAAAAAACACAGGGAATGGACGTCCGAGCGATGCCAGGGGGCCTACCGCCGATCAGTCAGCGATGCATCGCCGACTCCAGGTCGAGGTGTCCCGCCCCGTGCCAGTCTCCCCTTGTCGAGGGCCAGGAGCAGGGGATGGTTGCGCCTCCTCCTCCTCCTCCTCCTCCTCCTCCTCCTCCTCTCCCTCCTCCTCCTCCTCCTCCTCCTCCTCCTCCTCCTCCTCCTCCTCCTCCTCCTGGTGCACCGCCAGAACATGTCCACGTCCACCTGTCTCGGGGCCCTGCCCCAGGGGCTCGTGGAGCGGTTGATGTTGCCATTCACTTGCGGTGGACAAGCTGTGGAACCAAAAGGTACCGATACCGCTACTCCCCGTACCTCTCCCAGGTTGCGATCTGACCAGAACTTCGAGGCCAGTCCAGCGGTGGCGGCGAGGGCCTCCCAGGAGGCCTAAAAAGGGGAAAACGGGCGAAGGGTAGCGGTTTGGGTATTTTTTTCTCTTCTGGGCGAGGGCCACGCCCTACGCCCTCGCCGACGAGGGGGAGGGGGGCGTCGACAGCGAGGACGCCTCCCCGACGGATGGGCAGGGGCAGCCAGCCCGCCCCCCTCGCCGTGCGGAGGCGGGCGGTGGGGGGCGGTGCCCGCTCCCTGACGTCTGGAACGCCCCTGCTGGTGGAGCCCTCGGTCGCCGGAGTCCTCCTGTCCATCGAGGTCCTCCCGAGCAGGTCCTCGAACGGGGCCTACGCTCGGATTCATGTAGAGTCACGGAGGAGCCCAGGCGCTCTGCGGGCCCCGTGTTCTTGCCGTGCCTGCTCGGAGTTGTTCCAGCCGCCTCTGTCCACCTCGATCCCCTTGAGGCTTTCACGAGCGGCGGGGACTCGGCGGATCCCGGCTGTACACGTGATCGCCGGCGGCGGAGCTCGCGCGACGGACGAAGGGCGGCCAGAGCTTACCAGCCTCGAACGTATCCCTATCCCTAAGATTGACACGCCAAAAGGCGATGACAATCTTAGGGATTCGCCCTCAAAAAATAAGGGAATCCTAAGATTGGCATCGTGATGAGGAGGTGCCCAGCATAGGGATAGGGATATGTTCCAGGCTGGTAAGGAGCTGCGTGCTGAACTCATTGCTGGAGTGAGCAGGTTGGTTGGCCGCGTGTCTGGCCCCGCCCCGATGGGGCGACGGGGAATGCGCAAGCGCCTCGCTCGGCGGCCTGCTGCTCCTCGCGGACGAGGTGGCCGCTCACGGCCAGCGGGGGAGCTTCGCTTCAATGACTCCTTTGCCGGCGCAGCAGCCCCCGGAGGGTGGGTGTCCGAGGCGGGGATGCCTGCATTCCCATTGCCTGGGCAGCCGATCTTCGTGGACCTCGGGGCGCAGTGGACTTGAGCATATTCGAGGCACCAGGGAACCCCAGCATGTTTTGGCCAGCAATGCATGAGTACAACAAGCAGGCACTGTGCAGGCAAACGTGAGTTCATAATGCACGTAACAATCAAGTTAAGAAGTGCGGAGACCCATTGATCTCGTACCCGTGGCTGCTCTCATGCGTCGCCTCCGCGCCTCCTCTTGGTGGGAGGGGTGGGAACCCCAATACACCCATATCCGCTGCCCCCCGGGTCCCAGTACATCGGTCCCCCGGGTGGCGGATATGGATGATTCCCCGCCTCGCACGATGTGAGCGACGCAACAAAACGGGGTCGTCGGCGATGGCATTGGCGCATAAGCTGGCCGCGTAGGCTCGCGCGTAAGCGCCCTCGTCTCCAAGAAAGTGTGCCGCGCTGGCGGCCCGCGTGGGCCACCGCGTAAGGTCGCCATGCCATCTCGCGTGAGACCCCTTTTTGATCGTCGCTCACGTGGCCCTTTCTCGGGGGCCTGGGCCAGGCGCTGGCCCAGAACCCCTCCTGCTGTTCTCACTAGACGCTCGAATGGGAGATGTCTTCAGGCCCGAAGGCCAGCACCTTTCCCGAGTGGAAGGACGTGCGACCAGTCCTTTTCCTGGATGCAGGGCGGCCTTGCGTGGTCTCTGAGCTCCTCGGCCGCCCTGGAAGGGGCCTCCTCACTTCGCAGGGGCCTTGAAGCTGGGCGTGGCTGCGCTGGACGGGCCCGGCGGCTTCTGAGGAGGCTTCCTCGAAGCCAAGAGGGCCTCCAAGACGCCCGCTTGCCTTCGAAGCTCCCACTCCCCGCCTTCTTGTAAACTCCTCCTCCTCCTTCTCCACCTCCTCTTCCTCCTCCTCCTCCTCTTCCTCCTCCTCCTCCTCCTCCTCCTCCTCCTCCTCCTCCTCTTTTCATTAGAAGCACCTCTTCCCGCCTTCTTAGAAGCTCCTCCTCCTCCTCCTCCTCCGTTCTTCCGAGCAGCGTTCTTGATCGAAATCTTGTGCTCCGCACATCGGCAGAGCGAGCCCCCCCCCCCCCCCCAGAGTCGTCATCGGCCTAGCGCTTGGAGGGCCCCGGCGGAAGCTCGTTTGCAAATTCTTTGCGAACGGATTGGCGTTCGGATCGTTGAGAGGCGGGTCGATTGACTCGCCAGCGCGCTGAGGCTTTCGCTGCACGGGTACTCGTGTGGCCAGGCAACCGGGACGGGTTGGGTGCAACCTCTGTCCTTGCCAATGCCAGCGATGGTGTAGTGATAGTGTCGTTTCACAGTTTGGCACGGGATGAACCGTGCGAGGAGAAGGGGAGAAGGAGAAGGAGGAGGAGGAGGAGGAGGAGGAGGAGGAGGAGGAGGAGGACGACGACTAATGACAAGAACACGAGCTATATTAATGGTATCACGAATATTAAGAACAGTAATAAGTAAACCAAGGAATTCGGATACGACATATACTACTAATGCTACCACTGTTGATACTACGAATAATAATACAAGGACTCGGAAGAACACGACGACGAGCAATAATAACATTACCACTGACGAGAATCATCATATACCAACTCGAATAATACCAGTAACACTAATTAGACTAACACTTCAACTGCTAATACTACTATTACCAAGCATAGTCATGACAATGACATTAAGAATAGTCGTACTAATACTACTCGTAATGTAAATAATGAGGATGACGATAGTGCCAATAAGGACAAGAGTTATACTAACATGACTAATCATCATGATCAGAGGAGGAGGTTGAGGAGGAGGAGGAGGAGGAGGAGGAGGAGGAGTAGGAGGAGAGAGGATTATGATGAGGATCAAGATCTTTCTCCCTCTTCTTGCAAGTTCGGGGTAGTTTCAAGATTATTGATCTTCCCTGTATCATGTATGTCATGGGGTCTGTCCACGGCGCCTTGCGATGTGGCTTCAGTTGGTCGCAGTACTTGAGACCCACGATCTCTAGTAGGGAGGAGGAGGTTGGGGAGGAGGAGGAGGAGAAGGTGAATGATGAGGAGGATGAGAAGGAGGAGATTTCTCTTTCAGCGACCGCCGCATTGACCGTTGCCGCCATGGGCTCTGGCTGTCCGTTCTCGCCCCCTTCGACCTCTCCTCACGACGTCTCCTCTCCCTCCCCACTCTGGTCCCTAACGCGCGAACGATCCGCACCAAAGCACGGACTTGGGAAAGGGCCCACCTTGCGAGGTTTTGTACATAGCACATCGTCGAGCGGTGCTGCGGGCGGCGGCGTCGGCGTCGGCGTCGGCGCCGACGCCGTCGTCGTCGTCGTCGTCGTCGTCGTCGTCGTCGTCGTCGTCGTCGTCGTGGTCGCGGTCGTCGTCGTCGTGGTCGTGGTCGTCGTCGTCGTGGTCGTGGTCGTGGTGCGTGTTGCTCTGCTCGGGACTTGTTTCCTTTCCGCAGTGACCACCACCACCACTCTCGTCCCTGCCCCGTGCTCATGACCTCGTGATGGGCCTTCCTGTTTCGTGAAGGCTCCAGTCGTGGCCGAGAGCTGTCTGTGACTGACCCCCCCCCGCGCCACTGCAGCGGCCTGCGGTTCGAGGGTCCTGTTGCTCAGTGGGCTAGCGAGCGGGCCAGCCCCCGCGGAGGGCCCTCCTCTCCGCCCCCCCCTTCTCCCCTCGCCTCCACTCGAATCCTTCTCCTCCCTCCCTTCCTCCCCTCCCCTCCCCTCCTTTCCCTTTCTCCCTCCCTCCCTCCCCGGGGGGGCCACCAGCTGGACGAGCCGATGGACATTCTGTCGCCGCATGGGGAGGAGACCACCTCGGTCCAGGCCTCCTGATGAGGATGGGGGAGGAGCAGGAGGAGTAGCAGCAGTAGCAGGAGGAGGAGGAAGAGGGGGAGGAGGCAGAGATGGAGGAGGAGGCGGAGGAGAAGGAGGATGAGGAGGAGGAGGATGAGCAGGAGGATGATGATGATGATGATGATGATGATGATGATGATGATGATGATGATGATGATGATGATGATGATGATGATGATGATGATGATGATGATGATGATGATGATGATGATGATGATGATGATGATGATGATGATGATGATGATGATGATGATGATGATGATGATGATGATGATGATGATGAGGAGGAGGAGGAGGATGAGGAGGAGGAGGAGGAGGAGATGGAGGAGGAGAAGGAGGAGGAGGAGAAGGGGGGAGCGAAGGAGGAGAAAGAAGGGCAGGTGAAGGAACACGAGCAAGACGAGAAGGATACTGCTTTGTTGTCGTGGATCAATCAAGCAGCCCCCGCACAGAGTCAGGAGAAGCTCATTTGGGAGCGTGCCGCCGATCAGCTTCTAGACCTAAGGGCGAATGCCCCAGTTTCGTGGCCCGCCTCCCCCTGTTCCGAAGCTCCTCTAGAGCCTCTAGACCCTCGACGGGAGTCCCGGCACCTGCTCGAAACAGATCGGGTCCGCGGGGCCGCTGCGTGGTCCTCGCACTTGGAGCATGAGCCTCAACGTCCGCTCCAATGCGTAGCAGGTTGCTGACCTGCATGGATGCTGCCAGTGCTCGACAACATCTTGGTGCAACTCGCACCATCAAGAACTTTGGGGATGTCTGCCCCCGCGCTGCGATGCTGCGCGTTGAGAGAGCCTGACTCGTGGTGCTGCTCACTGTCGGTGATTACCATGTCGTGTGGTCGTGCGGTCGTTGTTCCAGCAGAGCGGCTTCGACATCCAGGATCTCCGCGCCTGACTCACTTTCCGTAGTTACCAAACTCAGGAGGGACAGAAACACACAGACACAAGTAATCGTCGTTCCCAAGGAAAATATGCGAAAATATGGGAGGTGTGGGGGAAGACGAAAGCCCAGAAAATGTTGGGAAAGATGGGGAATCTGGTTATCCGTGTCTGTTTATTTGTGTGCCCCAGTTCCCCTTCACATGCGTCGTATGCTGGCCCGTGGGCTCCCCGCCTTGCACGACTGCGTGCGCCTCTGGACGCCTCTGACGTCGAAGCTGCTGCGAGAGCACACCCTGCACGCCCGAGGAGCGCGAACCGACTGCGAGCGCTTGCGCCTGCAGGTGCACACTATCCTGGGGAGCCCGGCGCCCTCGCGCGACCGGCCGCACGACTCGGCGGGTGGTGTGTGGGGCCCTTCCCTGGTGCCCCCGCACTCGGTGTCATTGCTCCCCCGAAGGGTGCGAGTGCGCCTGCACCCCAGCAGGGCCTCCGCCGCCTCCGCCGCCTCGAACACGGTGCCCCGACAAGGGCGCCCTCGAGGGCGCGAAGTTGTTCGCGCTTCGCGCTTCGCGGTTCGGCTCCGACTTCTCCTCGTCCTCCTCTTCTGCCCTGGAGGCGGCGCGAGAGCGCGAAGTTATTCGCACTCTGCGCTTCGCGCAGCGCGAGGCGCGAAGCTGGGAGCCCGTGACCCCAGCAGGGCACCGAGCACGGTGCCCCTCCCTGCGCCGTCGCGGTCGATGCCGTTCCGCCGCTACTGGGGAGGGCGACGCTTCGGCCTGCTGCAGCGGCGAATGCTCCCACGCGGGAAATCGCACCGACGTGCCGTCAAGACTGAGCTGAACGCGCCTCCATCCTTCGCGTCTAGGCCGCCTGTGCAGCGGTTCAGCCTCGAGCAGTTGGTGCACAAGTGGCCCAGGACAACAGCGTGGGTGCTTTCTCCCTGGCACCCCGCCTGGTGCAAAACTGTCATGGGCGCATGCGCGTGGAGATCTCCAGGGACCAGCGCGGCCATGGGCCGACCTAAACTCGAGGCCTCAGACACTTCTCTCCTAAGCCGAAATGGCTAGTGGGCCTCAAGGCGTCTGGCCGCCCCGCTAGTGCCTGTCCTCTGTCTGAGCCCCTGCCGCTGGTGCAAGCGGCACAGCTCGTGCCGCGTGCCACCAGCGGATATTATATGTCATCGGAAACTTGAACACATGCATTACCAGTGGTGGGCTGTTTTTCAATCCCAGGACTTTTTGAGGGTCGGGGACGACGTCGGGGTGGTGTGGTGTACACTTTTTTGGTCCGTCTCCCGGGGAAACAACGGAACATGTATACACTAGGATCCCGTACACACCAGTCTCTGCTCTTCTGTGCAAATTTCAGTGCAGGGCTGGACAAAAGCGTCGGTGTGTGTATATATATATACATATATATATATATATATATATAGAGTTCGGTTCCCAGTATAATGCTACGATGTCCAGGACGCCATTTCGGCCCCGCGCAGAGGGGGGTAGGGGGAGGGGGAAGGCTTCTTAGAAGCACCCCTGCTTCTTAGAAAGCGCTTGCCTTCTCTATACTTGTAAGTCCAGCGCCTTCTAAGAAGCAGCCCCCTTCTAAGAAGCCTTCCCCCCTCCCCCTACCCCCCTCTGCGCGCCGCCAACCATTGTCGCAACTTCTTGCGTTCAGCATCGAGTGAACATGTGCTGAAGCGTCTTGTCCTGTGACTTCTGCCCCCACACCCGTGGCTGTCCAGGCGGGGAGCTGGGCATCGTGTTTCAGCTCCATTCGCCAGTCCGCACGCTGCGCCACGGTGTCGGGACCCCTTCCAGTGGAAAGCTCTGATGGGCAGCGGTATGCCCTACGGTAGGTTCGTGTCGTGTCGACCGGCGGCGACCCCGCCAGCGGCGGGCGACCCAGAATCGTTCGACGTGGAACGATTTGGACGTTTTGGAAACGGCCGATCGTTCAAGGCTGAACGATTCCCGCGGTGTTAGAAACCAACGCCGAAGTCGTCGCGACACGAAGCTGACGTAGGCGTAGCGTAGTTCGACCAATCGAAACCGTGTGGTCCTGTTTGGTGTGCCTCTCATTGCTGTGGTAGCAGTTGTGGCGGTTGTGGTGAGCTTGTGGTCGCCCTGGTGACTTTGTGCGGCGAGAAATCAACCACGATCTTCCGCTGCGCATCCCCTGGCATTTGCACACGCTGGCTTGTGCGGCCGTTTCGCGCAGTCGGGGAGCATGTTACCCCCCCTGGGCGTAGAGCGCGGTGGAATGCAGGACTTGAATGAGGAAGTAGCCATTTTTCGGATGATGTCTGATTTCGCTTCTGCTGATGCCAGCCTGGCGCGTTGTGCCTGGTTTTGAAGCCACATCGCGCACAGTAAGTGCCAAAGCAGCTGAGCTGTGCCCCCTTGACAGCCACATGAGCAGCGAGGTGGTCTCTTTCCACTTGAGTACGCCACTCTCTGAGCATGTCCCCAGTGACCTGTTGGGCAGTGGCCTGGCGGGACACGGACGATCTCATCCTTTGCGCTTCTGTGCCTGCGCCCGCTGGACGCAGTCGGTTGTGATTCCTGCGCTACTTGAGCTGGCTTTAGCCATGGTGATGGCCTAAGTACACGATCATCACCATCGCGTCACTCCGTTTGCGACGGTGTTCATTTCCCGCAGCCGACGCTCGCCTCGAGGCGAGCGGCTGCCACGTCTCAGCCCGTGCTGCGGGGAGGCCACGGCAGGCCTGCAGCACACTCGTCGAGGTTGTCCTCGTGAGCACCAGGTCTCGTTCCTCGTGGCCTGCTGCTCGGTGACCTGCCTGTCCAGCTCCTGGATCTGTTCATTGAGCTCGTCGAGGCGAGCCTGGAGCGTGCAGATGTGCCGTTTTTGTTTCAGGCGGGGAGGCCCTGGGGTCAGGACCCGTTTCCCTCAGGACCCGTTTCCTTCATGTCGACCTTGCTCAGCAGTCCTGCGTCTGACACGTGGGGCATGTCCACGGCCAGCGACGCTTCTTGTTGGGCCTTTGACTCCCGAGTGCAGTCTGCCACCTCCAGGTGAGGCTCGCGAGCTGGACTGGGTCTGAGCGACGCTTGAGGGAAAACCGCAAAGGAGGATAATGATGAGGGGGAGGTGGGTGTGGAGATTGAGGAGGGGGAGGGGGACGAGCAGGAGATGATACCATAATGGAAGAGGAGGAGGAAGAAGGAGGAGGGTAATGATGCGGAGGGAGAGGAATAGGAATGGGTAGATGGAATGAAGATGGAGGAGGAGGAAGAGAACGAACGGAATGGGAGGATTACGAACATGATGACCATGAGGATGATGAGGGTGACGAGGATGAGGATGAACAAGAGGATACTGATGATGATTATGTTGTTCTCGAGGGTGATGAAGACGATGATGATGATCATGATGAAGATGGCGACGAACATTATGCTGATAATGATGCTGATGCTGAGGCTGATGCTGCTGCTGTTGATGATGTTGATGCTGATAATGTTGGTAATCATCCTGATGCTGATGCTGATGTTGACGCTGACGCTGATGCTGATGTTGATCATGCTGCTGTTGTTGTTGCTGCTGCTGCTGATGATGATGCTGATGATGATGCTGATGCTGATGCTGCTGATGACGATGATGATGGTGGCGGTGATGATGCTGATGGTGATGATGATACTGGCGAAGACGACGATGAGGATGATGCTGCGGCTGATGGTGATGATGCTTATGCTGATGATGATGCTGATGATGACGATGATGCTGCTGCTGATGATGATGATGATGCTGTTGATGATTATGATGTTGATGCTGATGCTTCTGATGATGATGCTGCTGGTGATGATGAGGATGCTGATGATGACGATGATGATGTTGTTGATGCTGCTGCTGCTGCCGATTATGCTGCTGCTGATGATGATGATGCTGATGATGCTGATACTGAAGATGATTATGATGCTGATATTGATGCTGATGCTCATGCTGATGCTGATGCTGATGCTGATGCTGCGGCTGCTGCTGCTGCTGCTGCTGCTGATGATGATGATGATGATGATGATGATGATGATGATGATGATTAGATAATGATGATTAGATGAGGATGATTAGATGATGATGATGATGATGATGATGATGATGATGATGATGATGATAATGATGATGATGATGATGATGATGATGATGATGATGATGATGCTGCTGCTGCTGATGCTGATGATGATGATGATGATGATGATGATGATGATGATGATGATGATGATGATGATGATGATGATGATGATGATGATGATGATGATGATGATTAGGATGCTGATGATGATGATGCTGATGATGATGATGACGACGATGATGTCTCTTTTTCCCCCCCTCGCGCGCGTCTGGGTGCTTCTCGGCCCGAACCCTCGCGTGGCTTCCCTGGGCGGGCGCTTTATGCAGGCGTTCGCCCAGGCTGCCATTGAGGGGGTGGGGGTGGGGGCGCTGCTTTTCCAGGGCCTGCGAGCCGCGCTCTACGAGCGGCTCGTGGGCCAACTGCTTCCCCAATTTGCGGACCTCAGTACTCCCTCCGCGGGGACCCCGTGGTCCGCTCAGGCCGACTCGAGCAGCGGGGGGCACTGCTCCCCTGCCCCTCGGGCTGCGGCTTGCCCCACCGTCTGCCTCGGACTGGCGGTGGATGTGAGCAGTGAGGTGACTCCCTTGCTGCTTTCGACGGTCGTGGCCCTGCTCGGAGCCACTGCCGTCTGCAGCCCCTGCGGAGGCTGCTGCATCGGGGCCTTCGCGGCCCGTTGGTGGGGCCCGACGGGCCTCCCTCGCGCGCGGACCGCGGTCGGAGCCCTCGACGGGCGCGGTCGCGGTGCGCAGCGCGCCCTGGCCTACGGCCCAGGAGCGCGGGCTGAGGAATGTGCGCGGGCCCTTCTCGCAAGGCCCGCCCGCAGCCCATCCCCGAGGCTGGCGCTCGCGTCGCCAGCCATGGCGGCCGCTGCTTCGGCGGCAGGGGGCTCGCCATCCCCGAAGGGCCACTTTGGCCCGATCTCCACCCATTCGCTCCTCCGTCAGCCACTCGCTACGATCGCTGGCGGTTGGGCGAGAGTGAGGAGAGCTACGCCGCGATCCCTCTGGCCGCTCGGCCAGGGGGTATTCTGCTGGCGTTGCCTGGGTCCTTCCGCACCTCCGACAGTCTCAGGTCTGCGGAGGCGGCAGGATGCTCAGGGCTAGCGGGCCCCTTCAGTACCTATATCCGGCGCATCACGCCCGCTGCTCCAACGGGTCGTCGGTGAGGCTCTTGGAACTGGTGTTCCAGCACTTGCGTTCCACCGATCCGCTTGTGCCCTTCGGGCAAAGCGGCTTCAGCGGTCGGTGGAACCATTTGCTTTCGGCCATGGGCGTCCCGCTAGCCAATGCGGCCTGCTGGCTGAACATCACATCTGCCTGTTTGCGAGTTTCAGGGGCGACGGGCGTCGAAATGGCCACGGAAGGCCTTCCTCGCGTCTTCTGGCGTGGCCGCTGGCGCCAGGCTTCAGCGCTAAGCGCTATCTCCAAGCCGCCGCCGCTTCGTCCGTTGTGGCCTCCCTTCCTACGTTTGCTCCTGCGCGTGCTGCGTACTACGCTGCCGCGAGCGACCGCCTCGTCGCCTCCTTTCTTGCCGTGGGCCCTCCTACGTGGTCCGCGCAGGTTTCGGCCGTCCGCGCCGTGCACTTGCGCAAGAGCTTTGAGCATGGATATGGCTGCGCGAGTCCTTCCGACACGCAGGGGACGTCCGTCTCCTGAGCGGCACCGCTCGGTCCGCGCGCGCTCCCAGGGACTTGGGCCTGTGGAGCCCCCCCGCGCGCGCTGGCCGCGGCCTCCGCGCGCAACCTGTTGGCCAGCGCGGGGCGGGGTGAAGCTCTCGCTGATTCTCCCCTCTCGCAAGCGTTTGGGTTTCTGTGGCTTCTCCGCCCCCCTCCCTCGCTCCACCTTCTCCTCGCCCGGGGTTTGCGACGCGCTGCGCGTGTCCTTCGACGCGCCGCGGACGTTCGTCTCCTGAGCGGCGCCGCTCGGCCCGCGCGCGCGCGCCAGGGGGCTCGGGCCTTTTGAGCACGCCTGCGCGCGCCGGCTGCGGCCTCCGCACGAAACCCGTTCGCAAGCGTGAGGCGGGACAATGATGATGATTCTGCTGGTGCTGATGATGATGGTGATGATACTGATGCTGGTGATGATGATTATGACGATTCTCATTTATATTGTGGTTATCATAGCCACAATGGTGATGAGTAGTAGGAAGAGGATTCGGGTGAAGAGGGGGAGGAGGGAACGGATCATGATTTTGATGAAGATGAGATGAGAGGAGGCTGGGATAGACTGGAAGGGCTAGGATAGAGCTGAGCGGGGCGGAGGAAGGAGGCAAGATAATAATCATAGGTGGCACGAGCTGGAGGTAGATGGGGACGAGGGCGGGCGGATTAACACTACAATTAGTTGGCGGAGGGTGAGGATGTGGGGAACGGGAAGGGGACGATGATGATGCTGAGGATGATGATGATGATTATGATGATGACGGTGATGGTGGTTGGTGGTGGCGGTTGTGGTGGTGGTGATTGTGATGAGGACGGTCCAGTGAGCATGAAGACGGCAATGATGATGTATCGGATGGCGAGGAGGGGTGTGTGAGGGCACGGCCACGCCAAAACGTTTTCTTACATTCTTGCTCTTCGCGGCACAGTATTATGTTTGTCGCTGTCTCTCTCTTCCTCTTCCTCCCCGGCACTGTTCCCGAAACCTATCTTGTGACTTTTCATGCGTTCGTTGGAGCTCGGCGGCAGTGGCCACAGCAAACGACCTCAGCCATTCTGTTTGGTAGCAGCTGGTCGAGCGGTTTCGGGCACGGGGGATGCCAAGGTCATTGCTTCCAGGGCTCGTGGGGCCCGATGCGACGCAAATCAGTCAAGGCACGCCCTGATTCAGTCACCGCTCGGCGGTTGTCGCTGCCTGCCGAGCTTTCCGATTCCAGGTTGACAAGCCGCTTGCCCGGCGCAGGCTCTCCGGAAGGCGCTCCTCTCGCTGGGCAGTGACCGCAGCGAGCTGGGGGCTCAGTTTGCAAGGAGCAGCAGGGACAAGGCAGAGAGTTTGGCGACACATGTGATGGTGATGCTGATGATGGT